TCAGGCTCTACGACCCCTTTGCAGTCCTCCACGCTGTGGCTTTCCCCAGTGCTTGCTATGAAGATCTCTCCTTTTTGTGTGTGGCTCTCCTCCCCATCCCTTTGACCAATCTTCCTTGTTCATCTTGTCTATAGGCACCCAATCCTCAGCCCGTCCCACATGTGATTCTTCTGCAGGTCTTCCCAGGGTCCCCATCCCCTTCTGCACACCATCTCCAGGGGGCCTCCCTCCCTCCCACTACTTCAGTTAACACGATTCAGTGGTGACTCCCTGGTACGCATCCTGACCTCTCCCCTGGGCCCCAGATCCCAGTTTCTCTCTGTGTTACTGGTACCTATAGCCCGTTCTCTGCCTTCAGCTCCTCCTATCATCTGGACATACTTGTTCTACCTCCCGATCTCCTGAGCTCTGCTTGCAGTCCCTCTAATGCTTAGCACCCCAAGCTAGAAATCTAAGAATTATGCTGGACCCTTCCTTTGCCATCTAGTCCAAGCTGTTGCCAAAATCCTCTTGACTGTCTATCAGAGACCGTGTCTCTCTCTCTCTCTCTCAAATCTGGGTCTCTCCATGCATACTGACACGGTCATAAAAATAGCAAATACTTACACAGTTTACATGTTCTGGACACTTACCTAAAAGGCACACACACTCTCATTTGACTTTTGCAACAGCTCTGTGAGATGGGTACCATTATTCTCCCCATTTTCCAGATGAGGAGATTGAGGAACATAGAAGGTGAGGAATTTTCCCAAGGTCACACGGCCATGATTCCAGCCCAGGCGGTCTGACTCTGTGTTCACGTGCTTGACCTCTTTGCTCTAATCCTTCTCCTGAGGTTTGCCCACTTCTTCCTACCACAACAGCATTCCATCAGGCCTCTCCTTCATCCTTCCTTCCCCTCTCACCCACACCCCCTCTAATGCCCTTCCATTAAATGAAACCAGTCATGCTGGAAAACACCTAGTGGCTCCCTACTGCCCACAGGAGAAAATTCCTTGCTGTGCGTTCAAAGTTCTTTACAACTTGGCCCGACCCACAACTCTGGCTTCACCTGGCTCACCTCCCCCCATGTTCATCCTCTCACTCTTCCCCTGAAGCCATGCCCTCTCTCAAGTGAGCCCTCATGGGCTCCTATGCCTGGAATATTCTTGCCACCCTTCTCTGCCAGTCAAATTCCTTACTCCTCCCCTGTCCCCCAGTTCAGACACCATCTCTTTGGTGATGATCCTCAGGGATCCAGGAGCCCAGCTCTACTAGTCTCTCATGGAATTCACTGCACAGTTTTGTAACATATCTTCTTACTCCTGACACCCCCTACCCAAAGCTTCAGAATGACTAAATATTCAAAGAATGAACGATGGGCCCCACAGCCAGCCTGCTGGGTCCTTCTGCCTTTGCCCCTACATTTCAAATGGTTCTTTTCACTGGATCACACAAAATCATAAAGACTGGAAAGATATCATGGGATATATTTCCTTCCCCCCACAGTCTCCCACTCAGGGTGAAAAAATGGTTGGATAGTCTCTTCCCTATTTCTCTTCAGAGAAACAAATGAAAGGAGAGTGGGAGTCAAGCCAACTAGTCAGACTAGGGCATGGAAGAAATAAGGGGACATAACAGACAGACTGAGAGATCTCCTCACGCAAATATCTTCACTGTATGTGAGAGGAAACTGAGGCCCGGGAAGATGAAGAGGTTTGTCTAAGGGCAATGACTAGGGAGAGGTAGAGAAACACGTTGGCACCAGGACATCCGCCTTCCCAGCCAGGGATCTGGTCTTATCCTGTTGCCTCTCCACTTGCTCATCCTTCCAGGGGCAGCAGGCAGCACTGCCCCTGGGTCCCTGGGTCTTCCCACAATTCTCCACACAGGCTCAGGCTACTTTCCTGGGACCAGGAAGTGAACAGGCTCAGTTCGAAAAACTTCCTGATGAGCCAGCGTCCCTTGCTCACGCAACTGTAGGACTGTCTAGCCAGGACCTGGTTGCAACTCCCAGTTGCACCAACTGGCTTGAGGCTTCCCAGCCGGGGCTTCACCAAGGGCAGCAGCTCATCCTTTGCTCTCGGCATCTGCCAACCCCTTCTTTGTACCATACCAGGCTGCTCCTACACAACCACCCTTTCTTCCCTTCCCCACACCCTCTGCCTCCCATTTCCTCCCAGTTAGTCACAGTGAGGTCACACTCAGCCTCTGGCTCCCAGGCCTCTCCCTGAGGATGGTGTGTGTGCTGGGAGCAGAGAGTGGAGAGAATGTAGAGGAGGATGCAGCAGGGCATCATGGGAAAGATGGGCTCTGGAGTCCAAGAGATGTGGGTTCGCATCCTAGCTCTGCCGGTTGGCCAATCATGTGACCTTCGGCACATTAGTTAATCTCCCAAATCCTTTGCCAAAAAAAAAGGTGGGGCTGCCTGGGAGGCCCCTTCCTCGCCTGTCCAATGGGGATACTAACCCATGGTTTAGAGCGAGAATTTGATGAGATAAAGTGCCCAAAGCCCCTTGCACAGAGCATGGCAGACAGCGAACGTTGGTTTACTTCCCTCCTGGTGAAGTGTGGAGGTATGACCATCAATGCAGTGGCCTGAGAGATCCTGGGGGCCTCCCCATAGGTCTGCAGGGGAGCTGGAATGAATGTGAAGCTGTGGGTGTCTGTGTCGGATGACACTGAGGGACAGACTGACAGGTAGCAGGGAGGAGCCTTGCGGGGGGGCATGGGGTGTACACGCGTGAACAGAGGAGCGCTCTGGCGTAAGAGTATAAAGCAGTGTGACCCAGCTGAGCCTCTTTCTCCAAAATTCCCCCGTTCTTGAAAGGAGAGATCTGTCATGTCTGTTCTTGTCAGTAATGAGAAATCCAAAAAGCCTTTCCAGGGGAGGGAGGAGGGAATAACCCATCCCATGCTAAGTGAAGCAAACTCAAGTGAGACCCACTCCTGGCAGAAGCCAGCACACTTTCTCCTGCCTGTTGGAGAAACCACACCCCAAAAGATGTTCAAAGGGCCAGGGGCCTCTCTGGAGGCTGCCTAGGGCCAGAGGGGCTGCCCCCAGCCTTGTCCCAAGCACAGAGGTTTCTCAAGCTTCCAAAAGATCACATGGGCAGTTCAACCCACCGGGCCTGTGGAGCAGGCCACCTCCGGCCTGGGCTGGTGTGGTCACATCTTGGTGTGGAATGAACTCCTCCCCGTGCATCCTCTCCTAAGGGCCTGGGACACTGAGGGGGTGGGGGTGGGGGTCCCAGGCTGCCATCTTGCCTTCTCAGAGTGGAAAGCACAGTGCATAGGACCCATCCCAGCCTGCTTAGGGCTCTCCTTCAGGATCCCAGAATCCTTGGGAATCTCCTCCATCCTCCCGCCGTGAAAGCAAACCTGGCAAAACTATCCCTGAGAGAAGACTCTGTCTTATATGCAAAGACCGTGGCTGAGAAGCTGATTACTGTCTTTTTCCCTTGGTGGCTCTTCCGGTGTTTCATAAACCAAGTTGGCGGCACGTCCTTCCTCGTAGCTACATCTGAAACCTCTCTCTGCTTCAGGCCTCGCGTACAGAGAGAGTCATTGGCCTCCACTTGTCAGCCAACTTCCACAGTGAACAAAATGCAGAAAGGGCCTGCCTGAGAGGTTCTGGCTTCGGACTCCAGATTATTGTTCTCTCTGACCACGAAGGATAGACCCAGAAAGTACCCAGCCCTTTAGGAAACGTTAGTAGTGACTTCGAATCACTGTGTAGATAAAGGAGTCTGATCTCCGGTCCCACCTCAGATTGTCACCTAAACTTGGACGCAAAATATCAGAGCAAGAAGGAAACTATGATTCTCCAATGCCCCCCCCACACTGGATTTTTTGTCCTCCCACCACAATCTTCTCTGCCCGACAGAGTCCTGCTCACCCTTCCGAGCTAAATTCAAATATTACCTCCTCCATGAAGCCTACCCTGATCTCCCAGGGAGAATGAACTCTTTCCACTTCTGTTGGACACCATGCTTTCTACACACCTCTAGCAAAGCAGGGATGCCAGTGTAATATGATTATTCCCTGAGGAGTCTCTTTCCTTCCCTCTCCTTCTCCTTCCCCCTCTCTCTCCCTCTCCCCATGCTAACCTCCTCCAGGGAAGAGATCATGTCTTAATTTTCTTTGTATTCCCACACCTGGCATAGTACACATGCCCTACCCACCTTGGTGAAATTTAGGAAATCGATTAAATTTTCAGCTGAGAAAACTCAGACCACCTTCGCTTTCCTCCCCCCAACATACCCTCCCACATCTGCTCTGGCACCACGCCCTGTCCGAGCCCTCTCCCTCAGTTTCCCTCCAGCCCCTGATCTCAAGGGGAAAATCCTCTCCCTCTGCTCCATCCTTCCCTTCACATCCGTCCATCTCACACCCTGTCCAACACCACCTGCCTCCACCCGAAGCCCTCCCAGACTAACTCGAACCCCTACAACCCGGTTTTCTTCAAAGATGCCAAGCTTGTGCCTGCACTGACCCCCCGAGCCAGGTTACATAATTTGTCCCAGGCCCTCTTGTTCTCTTCCTCCTGTTTGGTTCCCTGTCTTCCCCTTTCAGTCGGTAGTTCCCTGAGGGTCCCAGGTCCTCCACCCTTGGTACCTCCATACAGCCGTCTCCATACAACTGGTCCATGCGGACTGACTCACCCAAGAGGAAACTCACACTAAATGCTGTGATGGGAAGAGAGCTGTGGTCTCAGATTCTGCATCACATCAGGCTAGAATTTAACCCTAAGCAAATGCTCCATTTGTCAGCACTCTATTTTGAGAGGGTAGTGGAGACCCCAACATTGGATTGTGGAATGGGGGAGGGGCTGGACGATAGGCCCCTTCCAAGCCAGAAAGCTATTGACCCCGTGAATAAACACCTTGACATAATCTTCTTCTATCTCCCACACCTGATGTAGTCTAAGTGGCCACCCCCCTACCCATTTATAGAATATATAAATATATTCCCCCCACCCCCATTTATAGAATAAAGGTTTTCTTTCTGAACGACCTTACCTGCCTGTTGAAATCTAGGCCATTTCGGTCATTTCCTGAAAGAGATAAAAATGAAAATATGAGTTGCTAGCAGGACTGGAACAGACTGAGAGTTAGAGGGAAATGGCGATGAGGGGAGGAGATTGTCTAGATTTTTGAAAAAGAACACCCGCTTCCCCTGCAGCCAGGATCCTCCTACTTATCCTGTTTCCTGGAGAGGTCTTTGGAAACTCTCCTCCAGGGAGGTGGATTACCAGGAAGACTGACTAGTCGGAGGTTACACAGAGTCACCCGGGATTGAACTTGACATCCCAGAGTGCGTGTTCTGCTGCTCTCCCTCAGACAGAGCACAGGCTGTCGTGGCTAAGCAAGGAATGACCAGCCGAGGGTCCTCAGCCCAACACAGTTGCCCCATCCTGACCCTCCTGGAGAGATGACACCTAAGTCATGTCAGGGAGACAGGTGTCTGTCTTTGCTTCCCCCCCTCTGGCTTTCATTTCTTGTCTGTTCATCTCTTTCCTTTCACAATGGAATAAGTTATGGTGGGACAAGTAAGTTTGTGCTTAATAGAGGAAAATATTTGCACAGAAAAAGTATAAAGCAGCAGAAAAATCACTTTGCTGAGGGGCAGCTGTAATTCATATTTTTGTATATTTTATGGTCTCTTCTTATGCTTGTTTTTCCTCACTGATACTCACCGCCCTGTATAAATTTCACCCGGCTTTTCCCAGTGAACATCATTAATATCTCCTCTATACTATTAAGGGGCACCATAAATCTTTTTTCCTCCTATGCTTGCAAACATCATTTTTAATGGTTCCCTAATATTCCCTTCTGGGGACTGTAATTTGCTTAAATATATACCTATTGTTCGGGGACTTGCTTCCATTGTTAGCTACAATAGTTTCCTTTTCCTATAACTCTATGGCAGTGGGGCACCTGGGTGGCTCAGTCAGTTAAGCATCTGCCTTCAGCTCAGGTCAGGATCCCTGTGGCCTAGAATCGAGCCCCTCATCGGGCTCCCTGCTCAGTGGAGATCCTGCTTTTCCCTCTACCTCTGCCTGCTGCTCCCCCTGCCTGAGCTCTCTCCCTCTCACTCTCTCTCTGTCAAATAAATAAAATCTTAAAAAACAAAAAACAAAAAACCTTTCTATGGCAAAAGCCACCAAACAAGCTTCTTTTGTGTGCCATGGCTGCTGGTTCTGCAGTAGCATTTACTAAACACCATACACTCAGAGCCTAGCACCGGGGTTAGTATGTAACAGGAGTTCAAAATATACTGGTTGAATGAAAGAATAAATGGACAAGCAAATGAATTCAGAACTTTCAATCAGAAAATTCTTTTGCTTTTCATTGCATCTTCAATAACTTTGGAATAAAGTCTCCATTTCTTAACACAACACTCAATGCCCAATAGAACTGTCCCTCAGGATCCGACCTGCTCCCTCCCAGGTACCCAGAGGTCATGCACAAACACACCAAGCCTGTCCTGTTTCCACGCCTGTGTGCACCACGCCCTTTCACAGAGTTGGTTGGTCCCGCTCTGCTCTGGACCCCAGGAGCCCCCACTACCACCTCATAGTCCATGATGGGACTCCTTTTTTGTGGGCCTCTCTCTCCCACTAGACTATGAGTTTCATGAAAAGGGGGACATGACATCCATTCTCAGTGGCCACCATGGTTCCTAACACAGCCCAGTGTCTCGAGAAATGCTGGTAGAAGAATGAATGGGATCTAAGAGAATCCTCTGGAGATTTAACTTAAGTCCCCTTGCTCTGTCCTGTTCTAAATGAGGACGGGGAAACATGTCCCTCCCTGCATGGTTGTGAGGGCACCAGCAAGTTGAGAGAAGAGGATGAAGAGGGATGGGGTCATGAGAAGGGCCTACAGGGAGACACAGATTGACCTCTGGATAGCAGTCTGATTTTGAGATCATTTAATATATAAAATCAGCAAGGGGAGCCAAAGGTAGGAAGGGCCCACAGTCTGAAAGCAGTTGCATAGAAAGATAGACCTAAGGGTAAAATTGCTTTTATTTATTTATTTATTTATTTGACAGACAGAGATGACAAGTAGGCAGAGCAACAGGCAGAGAGAGAGGGGGAAGCAGGCTCCCTGCTGTGCAGAGAGCCTGATGTGGGGCTCGATCCCAGGACCCTGGGATCATGACCTGAGCCGAAGGCAGAGGCTTAACCCACTGAGCCACCCAGGCGCCCCACTTTTATCTTTTTTTTAATCGAGGTGTAACTGACATACAATATTAGTTTCAGGTGTACCACGTGATTCAACATTTGTATACATTGTGAACTAACCAATCACCACAATACGTCTAGCAAACATTCACCACCGTCCGTAGTTACAAAGTTTTTTTCTTGCAATGAGAATTTTTAAGATCCACTCTCTTAGCAACTTTCAAATATGCAATCCAGTGTTATTAACTATAGTCACCATGCTGTTCCTTACATTGCCAGGACTTATTTTATAACTGGAAGTTTTGACGCCTTTTATCCATTTCACCTATCCCCACCCCCCATCTCTGGCAACCACCAATCTGTTCTCTACATCTATGAGCTTGTTTTTTGTGTTTTTTTTCCCTTGTTTCATTGCTTGCTTTTTAGATTTCACATATAAGTGAGATCATATGGTATTTATCTTTCCCTGATTTATTTCACTTAGCATAATGCCCTCAAGTTCTGTCCATGTTGTCACAAATGGCAAGATTTCATTCTTTTTCATGGCTGAATAATGTTCCAGATTCCATGCTATGTGTATATACACATATACACGGCATATTTTCTTTACTTATTCATCCACCAGTGAACACTTTGTTTCCATTTTGGTAATTATAAATAATACTGCATTGAACATGGGAGGGCAGAAATCTTTTTGAGGTAGTGTCTTCACTTTCTTTGGATCAATACCCAGAAATGGAATTGCTAGATAATCCAGGTAGTCCTAGATTTTATTTTTTAAGGAGATTTTACCTTAAAAAAAAATCCTTCCATGACATTGTAAAGTTGGCCTAATAAGGAGTAATTCTAAAACCTGACAAAAGAGCAAATTCATTCATTCAACATGCATTTACTCAGCCCACACTAGGTACCAGGCACTGTTCTAGGTGCTGGGAATACAATCCTGGAGAAGATGGCAGAAGTCCCTGACTTCTCTTGGAGTTGAAGAGACATAAAAGAAATAAGAAAACAAATATAGAATTTCACTTAGAGATAATTACTGTGGAGAACAATAATACTTTGTCAGGGGAAGGGTGTGTCAGAGGCTCTTCATAAGCAGGTGGTCTGGGAAGGTCACTGAGGGGAGGCGACGATTTCACTCTATGAAGTGAGGACCCAACCTTTCGAAGGTCTGAGGAAGATCATTCCAAACACAAGTATCAGGACCTAAGGCAAGAGCAGGCTTGCATGCTGAGGAATGGTAATGAGGCTGGTATGGCTGAAGAATGGGGTAATCAGGGGCAAGATGACGTGCATCTGGCAGATGGGTTGTGGCGAAAGCTGAAGGACGACGGGAAGTGATAGAGGGTTTGAGCAGAGTCATCACACGACCTAACTTCAGTGCTTAAACCTGTGGTGAGGAGCTCGTAGGGGGTTAGAGAGCAGGAAGCAAGACCAGTTGAGAGGCATTGCAGTGACCCCAATGAGAAAGGGCAGTGGAGTGGGAGGGACAGTAACAGTGGAGGCGGTGAGAAAAGTCTGGATTTAGAATGCATTTTGAATTAAGAGCGGACAGCACTGACTGATGGATGGGAGGTGCGGTACAAGGAAGGAGAGGAATCAAGGATGACTTCTAGGGTTTGAGGTTTCTCAACGGAATAATTGGTGGTGCCATTACCAGAGACAAGGGGACTCAGGGAAGAGCAGGCTGTTGGTAGAATGTCAAAAGCTATGTTTTTGAACGAGGTAAGTTTGAGGTGCCAGTGAGATATCCCAGGAGAGGAGAAGAAGTGAGTTTGGACTCAGAAGAGGTGTGAGGTCAGAAGTATAATGTGGGTGGTTACCCGCTTATGGGTTGCATTTGAAGCCACAAGACTCAGCCAGGTTACAAAGGAACGGAGTCCAGAAGAAGAAGAAAGAAAAGTCCAGGCTGGTATGATAAGGAGGAGCCAGGAAAGGGGCAGAGAAAGAGTGGGCCCTCAAGTAGGAGGAAGACCAGTCAAGTATGGTGACTGGGAGGTAAAAGATGTTTCCAGAAGGAGGTAATAATACAGTGAGAGAAACAGTGGAGGGCCAAAATGGTTTGACTTGGAGGAGGTCATCAGCTTTGTGGACAATTAAAGAAGGTCTTTTCTTTTGATTTCTGTGAATGCAATTATCATGTTGTTTATGAGAACCACAAAATTGAAAAGATGAGCAAGCAGAATTCAGAGTTTAATTTTAAAACTCACCAGCCAACAAAATGAACAATATTTCTTGCCTAGAAGTTTATCCATGGCCTTTCTCAAGAGGCCTCTTACCATGAGGTTGCACCTGCTGCACTTGGAGTCTGGGGAGGACATTTCTCCTTCTCATCAAATTCATTCTTAACCTGCATTGGTATCTATACCTAGTCCTCCTTGAATCCCATGCTAAGTGAATGAGGTACCTGGTTGGCCAGGCCCTCCCAAGGAGCCCAGCCCCATGACACTCCAACAGAGCTTTGATGGCTCTATAGCTCAGTGCTGGGCACTTAGGAAGGGCTCATCTCTCCAAAGCAATTCCTGTTCCATTCTGATTCCACTGCTAATGCTCTAGATTGAGAGATGACTAGTGAGCCATTCCCGGGACTCGATTTACTCATCGAGTAAGGTAGGTGCAGAGAAAGGAGAGGATGTAGTTATCATATTAGATGAAATAGTGGTCCATGAGCATCAGAAACTTCTTTCTTTTTAAAAAATGTTACTATTATTTATTCATTTTTATTAACATAGAATGTATTACTTGTATCAGGGGTATGGGTCTGTGATTCATCAGTCTTACACAATTCACAGCTCTCACCATAGCACATACCCTCCCCAATGTCCATCACCCAGACACCCCATCCCTCCCACCCCCCCTCCCCT